TTAAAATTAAATCACAACAAATCACATAAAAAAATTTTAATATCTATTACTATATTTATTAAATTTAATTTAAGACTTTATTTAAATAATATTTGTACCGAAATATATGATTTTACTTTATTTAAACTTTATTTAAATCAAAACATTAAATGATTAAACAACTCAAAAATCGCGCTCAAATGTCAAATCCTTGTCATATAAGCATGACATGGCAATATTTTGCCATCGAAGCAGCCAACCGGGTGTGTCCCAAATGGCAGTTAAGCCAGGCAACGGAGTCACGAACGGCTGTTAAGTTGGCGTAAGGAGAAGGGCTTAATTGCTTTGATCTCAGAGTTTAAGGGCTTACATGCATCAATTAAAGTCTAGGGGCTTAATAGCGATTCTGGGGTTAGTTCAGGAGCTTAACTTATGGGTTTGCCAAAAGTTAACATGAGTTTGGTGATTGAAAAACTGAAAAAGAAAAAGAGTGAAATAAGCCCGCCTAAATGATCCCATAAAAAAAATAAGCCCGCCAAAAATTTAGCAACAAACTGGGCTTGAGGAAAAAACATTGGGCCTCTGTTTTTGTCCGGTTTAGGTTTTTAGGCCTCAAAACCGAAGCCCGATTGATTGGGCCTCTGTTTTGCTCCTGAATTGCGATTTTTCCACCCAAATCCGAAACGTCAGCAAAAACCCACCCAATGTCGAGTGGGTTTTCGGTTACCGGTCGGGTAACCAGTCATTGCCCACCGTACCTACTTTTGCCTGTGGGTTGTGACGAGGTTGCTTTCAGACAGCTACCAAAAAAATTCGTGATAGATTAAAGATGAAGTCAATTTCCTTCGTTTTCAGATGCTATCAAAAAATTAATGAGAGATTAAAGACGATATCAATTTCTGATAGCTATTCATTTTCAGAAAGCTATCAAATATTAATGACATCTGGGCCTGAACATGACTACAAGGCCTTTGAGTAGTAAGTAGTAACTATCCTTAAATAGTGATGCACAATTTTATTAATATCATATTAGGTAATGATGGGGAAGGCAAAAATTTGAAATTAATGATTTAATTTATTTTATATTATTAAATTAATT